AATTATGAGCGCCGATGCCATTGTTTTATTCTATATTATATTAACCGCGGGACAAGAGATAAGATCGTACTCTCCGCCATTAGGGCATTGACTCTCTGTGGCAAGTCAAGGACCCTAGTCAACAGGATGTGTCTCCACATGGTGGAGGCACACATTATTGCCAATTCGATCATAATTTACATCCATAATTAGTTCTATGTTACATCATGTAATGCAGAACATGCTAGCAACACAAAGTAGTGTGGAAGCAGGTGTTTCTTTCTCAGCAAGAAGAGCACAATGTACAGTCTGTATGATTCAGAAACTCACAATTTCAGTAACTGAAGATAATGAGTTGTGGGATAGAACTCCTACTGCTGCATGATTACAGATAGATTGCGTGCCTTGATTGACAGTGTGATGGTGATGATTAGTTGTATGTTTTGTATCGTAGAAAATGTTAGTGGCACAAAATAGGTGGAAAGCAAATGTTTGTTCCTCAGTAATAGAATACCACAATGTTTTTGTAGGGATGCTGCACAAGCATTATCTCAAAGGCATTCAGATGGCTCTCTCCTTGATGAAAACTTCAACATAGCTCTCGAGGACCAGAGCGGACAAAAAGTGATGTTTGGATCTGCAGATGATATGAAGTAATATACATTGAACCTTCTGTTCAGTTGTTTTCTCATATAGTTTGTACTATTCAGCTCATCATGTGTGCTATCCCCAGGGCTTTGAAGATGGCTCTAATGCTTCATCAAAAGGCAAAAGTTCTTATCAAGAAGAACATGTATAAGGAGGCACTGGATGTTTTGATGATGTCCGAGGTATTACTGCCTTACGTGATTGTTTTTGCCCTACTGTAAGAAGCATGTCTGTTAAATAGCTGTATAATGACTGAAACATCTGTTGTGTTGCCAGGAAGCCTTCTCTCTTTGTGACAATAAACTCATTGAGGTAACTTGAACCGTGAGAAGAATTATCTGTTACCTCTGTCAAATAGAGTGCTGAAGTGTTTTACTTACACTCCATTCATATTATGCAGAGAGTTGATAATGTGCCAATGCTTCAACTGGATATAGTCTGGTGTTATTTTATGCTTCGTGATGTATCACGCTTAGAAGTTGCAGGGGCTCGCCTAAACAAGGCTAGGTTAGGATTTGAACTTTCCCACGGTAAAGACTCCACGCGCTTCAGATTACTTCAGGCTGCCCGTCATGCAGATCTGGCTCTGTAAGACTCTTACCATCCTTTTTTACTATCATTTTTCTATCTCTTTTTTACGTACTGTACAGTTGTTTGGAGTGGGTATTTTTATCGAGGAGCAGATAACTAATTGCTGCATTTAGAAAGAAAGAAGAGCTGAAAAGTAGAGGATCACCAGTTCATAGTGTAATTAACTAGTGATACCCACAATGTGGCACTATGGATGTTGCATGCACACCTCTAATCTGATCTTTGTTGGATTTTCGTTAAGATAAATGTTTAGGATATTAGTGGCGGCTCTCCCAAGAGTGAGACCTGTTAAGCATTCTAGCTTTAACTTACAATGTTTCCCGATGTATCAAAACTGCTGCCCATGTAACAGCTATGTAAGGCTGGAGCTTTTGGAAGGAGTGGTAGCATATTATAATGGTAATACTGAAAAGGCACGTGGCTCTCTCAGTTCTGCACAATCTAAATACATGCAGGTAAATTTTGTTTGTTGTCAGTTTTAGTATCTTATTTTGTACTTCTCTGACCTTAGTACCATATCAGTGCTGCTACTAAATGAGTAAATGCATGTTGATTTAGCTGCAAGTACCAGATGAAGCTATAGCAATGTTAACGGATATGGGCTATGACGCACGAGCATCAAAAAGAGCACTAAAGATGACTGGCTATGATATTCAATCTTCTGTTGATCTCTTATGTGAGGAGCGTGAAAAGAAAATTCGTAGAAGGGAGCAGGACATTGAGACACAAAGAGAGATAATGTAACCTTCACATTGAGAGGCTTACTTTCCCTTCTATGTATCATTCTCCTTTTCCTTTTTTGCTGACTTATGCACATTCTGTTTGGCGTTATCCTAGGGAACAAAGGAGATATGGTAAAACTCCCATGAACAAGGCAGTTGATATGCAGAAGTTGAAAGGCTTGACTACTATCGGGTAAGAGTGTTTTGGTCTTATATTATACGAATCACATGTATTTGAGAAATAGATGTTGATTTTATGATGAAATCCCCATAGTCCTACATTTGAGGATCAGATGCCTAACGACCAATCTGGCTTTATTGCACCATGCTTTTGCATCAATGTTTGTCACTGGGCTCTTTGCCACTTCTAGCGAAATATGCTTGTTATGGGTTGAAAGTACACACAAGAGGCTCTCAGTCAGTTAGTACTATGTAAAATAACAAAATAGATTGTTTTAAGTAGGCCACCAAAATCGCAAGCACCAAGCAGGCCCTAAAAACTCAAAACTTTTTTACCAGATTGTGAAGAAAGTGTAGTGTTAAAATCTACGTTTTGTTCAGTTGAAATAAATATTTATTAGGGAACAATGTTAGTGATGAAAGGCAATGGAATTCGTTCATTTCGTTCGTGCGGAATGATTTTCTTAGTATTTGTAAGTTTTGCCATGTCGTTCATGTTTCATTGTATCCAATGTGACATGTTCTATGGTGAGCGGATTTTCTGCACCTGGATGCACCGAGTATGCACCTGATGATTTGAGTTGAATCAAAAGGGACACTTTAGTTGTGAAAAAGAATGAATTTTATTGTTGGTGCACGATGTTGGAACAGGTGAAACCTGCCAATTTTGGGCAACACATATTGTCAATTTGTATACTGAAGAAAATGAAATGAACTAACTTAATCTTTTGGTGTGGACCCGACTGAGTATGACGATGATAGCATAATCTGTCGCGCAGCATGGTTATCTAGCCATAGTAAAATATGGCTATTCAGCTAGTTTACACAGAAGGTCAGAGGCACGATCTGGCTCCCATCTGCTAGATAAGTTAATTCACTAGCCACCATGTCTTCAAAGACAATATGGCAGTCATATACCACCATGAGCGAGCAGAGTCCGGTCACCGGGGGATAAGCTTGGCGATAGCGAGAGTGATATTGCAGAGCTGGTCGACCTCGGTGTTGCGCGCCATGAGGATGCTCCGGTGTTCTGGTAAGTCCTGGCACCCCTTCTGGCACAGCCTCACCTCCGCCTGGCCTGCAGATACCAGCACCTGCGACTCGTCGTATGCCCCCATGTCCAGCGCGATTGCCGCGTCTGCCAGCTGCTCCACGGCCGCCTCGTACCTGCATGCATATATATGATCAATAAAGCATGCAATCCATGATTCATCGTTAAAGTTGCTTACCGCTCCCCACAGTCCTCGAGGCATTGTTGCAGCTGCGCCGTTTTATTGAAGTTGTCATCTTCATCGATGTTTGAGAGGTATGTGGCTGTCTCGGACGCGTTCTTCTGGACAGCCAGGACGGCCGCCCTGGTCAGGCCCACAGCGTCAGCCGTCAAGGAGGACCGGTCCGGGGAGAGCGTCGCCGTGCAGAGGTCGTAGAGCTTGGCGGTCTGCTTGCAGGCGTCCTCGATGGATAATGACCCGGTGGTCGACGGCGTCGCGGCAGGGGAACCAGTAGATTGGGGCAATGCGATGGTGAGGAGGAAGGGGAGGATGAAACCTATGGCTGCGTAGAAGGATGCCATTGGGAGGTTTGGTTTGCGCGCTTGCGATGTTGCTCAAGTTAGACGGGACGCCGTGCAAGGTCCTACTTATATGGTAATGCGTTTGCCTAAATAAAGACAGGTTAACAGAAAGTGCCCGCGTCTTGTCCATTTTTAGGGGTTATTCTTTACGATGGAGAGGAAAAGCATGGACCTCTTTATTAGGAGGAGAGCCAATGCGAATATTGGCAGTTGTGTCACAGAGTGCGCGTGACAGAGAGTCAGACACATAGCGTGACAGAGAGTCAGACACATAGAGGTAGCAAAAGATAGCATTTTCAGCTGGTTAAACTTTTTATGAGAAACAACAAGAGAAGTAAAACAACAACTATAAATGTAAACAGTTTGTCTTTTTTGTCTAGCACATAAATAGATAGTTTTATTTTTGCACCAACACTTGCAGATTCGAACTACATCCAACAATGTACATGTATAAGTTTTGTCAGAACTTCTCAAAACATGGAAGTGGGCATTCTCACCAGTGTGTGCTGCACGCTCAAGTGCACTGATGCATTTTCGTTTATATAAAACAATATTGGAAGATTATGTTTTATGAAGCAATATAGGATTTATTTTTTTGGTCCCATTTTTTATTTTATTTTTACTGGGAATCGAAATCTTAGATGGATCTAAAGGTTAATTAGATTTCACACATCTATTCCTAGCAGCCATACAATGATTTAGACGTGTCTTTAGTTGTCTTGTGGAGAAAGTGTTTGTAACCGATCGGTTTTAATTTTGCAGGTTTGAGAAGTACCTTGCTGCAGAAGCACTCCGCATAAATGAAAATGATGCTGAGAAAGCGTTAGATCTTTTGACAAATCCTGAACTGAACTGTGCCCTACAAGTAGGCGTTATTTGCCTCTTTTTTCTTACTCCTATCCTACCAAGATGCTATGTGGTTGTTAACACTTCCTTTTGTTCTGTCATTTCCACTCTAGAGTAAAATTCAGTCAAGGAGGAAACGACCACTTCATGGTATGTATGGGTTTAACGCATTCGTCATTACTCTTCTATAAATTGTCTCGTCGCAGATGAAATAGACTCACACCCCCTTCTACGTCTTGCCAGTCTTGGGTGCAGGACCATTGGGAGCCGGGGCTGCTGCTCCTGTGGCTGCCGCAGCGGCGGGTAACGCCCCACCACAGATCCCAGATCTAAACGCTGCCGAGGGCGACAATCAGGAGCAGCTTGTGAACAACGAAGAAGAAGCTGCGAACAACGAGGCAGAAGCTTTGCCCAACGACGCAGAAGCCATGGCCAATGAAGAAGCCGTGAACCAAGACCAAGACATGGGCGACGAAGAGGAGGAGGAATTGATCGAGGAAGAAGCGGGCGCGAGTCACGCGCAAGGTCCGGTCAGGGACGTGGCGATGGAGAACGAGCTCGCCAACGAGCTGACGGGCGACGCCCTGGACGACTACGACATCGACGTCGCCAACGAAGGGCAGGCCATCGCGGAGTACCTGAGCCTTCTGGAGTCCGCCGCTGCTGCTGCGGCTGCGGCTGCTAGCTCTTGATGTGCAGAGATAGGTATCTTAAAAAAGCTTCAGGTGGAAGGAGAATAGCCTCAGCCCGGGAGTTCGTGTGCTTGATAGGGTTCGATCTGTACATATGATGATATGAATATGGTGCTACCTTTTGTGAGCTAGTACGTGACACCTGAAAACCTGTTACCGTCGTGCCGAAGAAATTAATTTATGGACCGCATCTCACTATATTGCGAGTTCCTTTTCTTTTGTATATCTTGGTTACATATATTGAGAAGTCTTAGTAGATGGTTTTATAGGGATAAATACCACCGCATATTTTTCATTTTAAATACTGCTAGCTGCTCAATAGGTTTACTGTTGTAACCGTTTTTGTACCACATCTTCTGTTAATAGCAAATCCGTGGAGTTGTCAAAAAAAAAAAATAGCAAATCCGTGGATATTAATACCAAAGAGCGCATGTGCTGAAAATCCACGAATTTGTTTTTTTTTCTTTCTGTGTAGCTCACATCTTAAATTACTCACATACATGGAGCACATCCATATGTACATGTAGATTTTTTTTTCTGATTTTTTCAAATATCGGGCTCCAATGGAGGTTGGAGGCTAGAGCCCATGGAGGTTGGAGGCTTGGAGCCCAAGCTCCAAAATGAATCACCTTTTGAAATCATAGTGCAACCATGGGTAGAAATCGTCACTTTTTGAAATCAGTAGAAAAATGAAGTTGTTGTTCAAGGGAGCATTGAAGACGAGAATGGAATTACATCACCAGGATAAATAGTTTTGAGGTTGGCACACAATACAATTACACCTTCCATAGGAACCGGATATACAAATCTTACAAGATGAATATCAAACGGAAAGATGACAATAATAGTAGTAATAATAAAATAAATTGTAGTAGTACTAAATGAACAAACAAGAAGCGAGTGGCTTCATCGGCCCAACAACAACCTTGATTTCAAACTTGTGGCTTAAATTATGCGCGTCGGATGTGGGACGGACGGACGGATCAGGCGCAGGTGTAGCCCGGGGGCACGGCGCAGCCGCAGTCGTTGACGAGCAGCTGGAGGGCGAGCGGCACGTAGAGCGCGAGGTTGAGCACCTTGGCCTTGATGGCGGTGCAGAGGCACGCCGCGGCGGTGAGCCCGGCGATGCCCTGCACGAGCGGGCAGCACTTGACGCTGGCGTCGCCGATGTGCAGCTCGTTGCCGAGCAGGTCCAGGCACACGCCCAGCTTCAGCGTGTCGATCGGGCACGTGTCGGAGGAGGGCGTGGGGCTCGGCGTGGGCGTCGGCGGAGTCGGCGCCGGGGTCGGGGGAGACGGGGTGGGGGTCGGGGGTGAGGGAGGGCACGCCTTGCGTCCGCCGTGGCGGCTCTTGGGGGACGGGGAGCCGCCGATGATGGGAGCCACGACGCCGATGACGGGACTGATGACGGGAGTGACAACTCCCCCGACGACGGGGACGCCGCCAACCACGCCTCCTACGGTGCCGACGACAGGAGAGACAATGCCACCGACGGCAGGGACGGCGCCGCCTACGGTGCCGACGACAGGAGGGACAATGCCACCGACGGCAGGGACGGCGCCGCCTACGACCGGCGTGACCTTGCCGACGACCGGGGTGACTTTGCCGACAACACCGCCGACTGTAGGGACGGCGCCGCCGACGACCGGGGTGACTTTGCCGACGACACCGCCGACGGTGGGGACAGCGCCGCCGATGACCGGAGTGACAGTGCCAACGACACCGCCGACGTCGGGGATGGTGATGCCGCCGGCCGAGGGCGTGCCGGTGGACGGTGTGCTGCTGCACCCGGAGGCGGGGGAGCACGCGAGGACGACGGTGGGCGAGGAGAGCGCCAGCATGGCGAGCACCAGCAGCGCGGAGAGCTTCGTGGACTCCATTGCAGGCAGCTACGTACCTCCGATCGACCGAGTCCGCTTTACGTGGGGTGCTGCTGTGTTTGTGCCTGTGTCTCCGGTCTAGAGCATGCTCTTATAGGCGCCCGCGCGTGACGGGGGCCGGGCGTGGGGCACGCACGGGAATTATTGCAGCGCGCGCGCGATGCCATTGGTGTGCGGTGGCAATGGCATGCAGTGCGGATGGCCGGCCGGACCGGTCACGTGGAGGCGCAGCGGCGGTGGGGGGTGGGCGATCGCCAGTGCAGCTGGCCGGCTTGGCGGGTTGCCGAAGCGGCCAAAAGAGGCGCGGCCGGCGTGTGACTGGCGCTTGTCCGCGCCCGCCCGCCTGCGCGCTGCATGATTGCGTTGCGGCCTAGGTGAGCTAGCGTGATGCGCCTTCCGAGCTACGTAACGTACCTAGTTGCTTCCATGGTTGGGCCTGGGACTAGGGCTAGATATGTGTGGTGTACGAGTAATCGATAGGTACCAGTGTCGTGTGTTCTGTCTGTGCTGTGTTGGTCTTCCTCGCGCGCTGGGTTCAGTTTCAGAATTCAGACTTTCGTTCAGTTGAACACTTGAACCTGCACTTTCAGCTCAGCAAGAAGAGCGCAGAAACGATGGGTGAAACTGAAGCTCCTGATTTTTGTCGCAGTGTAATTGAGGAGCTATATATGCATGAGCAGTTCATGTAGTATATGTTCATTTCAACCTGCATTTTCAGCATGAAGGGTGCAGGAGAGGAAACCATGGGTGAAGCTGAAGTTTCTGGCTTTATTAATTGCAGTGTAATTGAGGAGCCATGGGCAGTTCAGTTCAGGTACATACATATCAGATCCTCCATTGAGATACCTTGCTTACATGTAGAGAGGGAGAGCTGGGCAGGCCAGTTGGGCGTCCATGTCTGCTTCACAATAAGAAAACTGCTTCCGTCCAGCGTTGCGTTTGGAGCTGTCCGGCCAGTACTCCAATCATCTCCACCTCTAGCCAGCTGATACAGTAGAGAGTACAGACTGAGCGAAGACCCCCTCAGCATCTGCTGGGTAGCTCGATCCCAAATCCCAATGCCTCGTTCAATCGGTTCAGCATTGCATTTTGCATTTTGCATGCATGTAAGCGACTGTGCAACCCCAAAGCAAGCAATCAATCAAGCAACACCTTTTGCATCGATCTAGCTCCCCAATCCAAGCCCGGCTGGCTAAAATGTTCCATCGGGCGGTCTAGTCAGTAGTCACACACATCTCATCTCATGCTACTAACCTACATCCACACACGCATGCATACCGACCGGCGCCAGCACACGACATCCATCGAGATCGTGCATGCTCATGTGACGGGGACGTACGCGGCCGCGCTCGTCAGACAAGATCGAGAGAGGCCAGTTCAGCGCGATGGGACGTACGTCGCTTCCGCGCCTCGTGATTCCGTCCGCCCGATCGACCGGCGCCAGGATCGACGTGCCTGGCTGACACCGCCGCCGTGTTTGGCCTTACGCATCGTTTCGGCAAGGGCAACCAGGCCCGGCCCTAGCTAGCTAGCCAGCAAGCGAAGTTTGTGGCGACGATGCCAGCTCCAGCCGGGTCGTCTTGGCGAGCGGCATGGGCGGGTGTTTGGTCGCATGTGTATCCGGAGAGAGACAGGCCGAGCAGAGATCTCGTGTAGCTGTCTTCATGGGATTGAGTAATCATATGACATGTGTGAGAGATTAATTACCCCATGGTTATTTGAATTTCTACATGCTTGACATTTCATCGCACAGCTTTTGCGCGTCGGCGTGGTACACACAAGTCGCTGCCACGGCGCCGCAGAGGTAGCAGCCTACGGCTTGGGAAGAGGATACATGAAGGGCGAGGAGGTCGTGGAGCGTCCCGGACGGAAATGCGCCGCTCAGAGACATGGCCGGAGTGAGCTTGAGCTGCTATAGCATTTCATCGAACATGGGATGTGCGTACTCAAGGATGAGCCGTGGACTTCCCTGCCGCTGGTGGCACCATGGGCGTCAAACGGAGGAAGATGATGACCAAAGGTGAGTCCAAGGCTAGAAGCACGTAACCCTGCATCGTCTCAGCCTAGCCCTAGAGAAACCTGCTTGTACTCCATGGATTTCCTATTTTCCTATAAACATCTGAACAACTCAATATCTTCTACCTGTATTGCAAACAGAAAAATATGATCATTTGCATGAGGAACATATCATCATGCCTCGTGCTCCCATGGTCATGTGTTTGCCAGACTGGCTGAAGCCAAAATTTTGATATCTTTCTGCATCTGAATTTCTTACGACAAGAGCTTCGGAACCAGGCCAACCCCGATACATTTTTTTAACAGGTTTAAATTTTATAATGTTAATCGTAGTATTTGAAATCAATCTTGGTAACATTTCGTACGTGTGCCAAGCATTTAATTGTTTCGAATGAAATGTTTACAAAAATAATGTTCCTGTCATTTTTATCTAATTTCATTTATGTTTGTGACATTTAAAAACAATTTGCTCATCTTTATGAATTGTTTCAGTGACATTTCATTGTCTCAAAAAAGTTTGAAATGTATTTAGTTGTATTTCAACCAATTTTAGAAACATTTCATGGGTATCACAAAAATTTCAATCGTGTCAATCATACTTCAGTCAAATTCTGAACATCTCATGCACGTACTAAATATTTCTTTCAAAAACAAGTACTCCCTCCGTCTGGAAATACTTGTCACCAAAATGGATAAAAGGGGATGTATCTAGATGTATTTTAGTTCTAGATACATCTATTTTTATTCATTTTGATGACAAGTATTTTCGGACGGAGGGAGTATCAATGTAATTCAGAAATACATAAATATGTGTTGAGTAACGTGATTGTATTAGGAAACATAGATTAGACTAGAAAATATTCTGGCTTGCCTTGTACTCCAAATAGATCATGTACTCCTATATATATATATACCCATGAGGCTCAAGCAATACAACGACTATTCCACCAATCCCTCTATCCCTTTCAACATGGTATCTATCGCAAGTCGATCCTAAACCCTAGCCGCCGCTGCTTCCGCACCTGCGTGCCGCCCCCGTGGCGGTCGGCCTCCATGACCGCCGCCGGGGGCCTGATACGTCCACTTTGCATCATGCTTTTATATCAATATTTATTGCATTATGGGCTGTTATTACACATTATATCTCAATACTTATGGCTATTCTCTCTTATTTTACAAGGTTTACCATGAAGAGGGGGAATGCCGGCAGCTGGAATTCTGGCTGGAAAGGAGCAAACATTGGAAACCTATTCTGCACAACTCCAAAAGACCCGAGGCTTCACGAAACAATTTTTTGGATTTATTAAGGAATTATGAGCAAAAGAAATAGGCCAAGGGGCCCACACCCTGTCCAGGAGATAGGGGGTAGGGGTGCGCCCCTATCTCCTGGGCCCCATAGTGGGCCTCCGGCGTCCATCTTCTGCTATATGAAGAGTTTTGTCCTGAAAAAAATTCGTTGGCAAGCTTACGGGACGAAACTCCGCCGCCACGAGGAGGAACCTTGGCGGAATCAATCTAGGGCTCTGGCGGAGCTGTTCTGCCGGGGACACTTTCCTCCGGGAGGGGGAAATCATCACCAATGTCATCACTAACGATCCTCTCATCGGGAGGGAGTCAATCTCCATCAACATCTTCAACAGTACCATCTCATCTCAAAACCCTAGTTCATCTCTTGTATCCAATCTTGTATCAAAACCACAAATTGGTACATGTGGGTTGCTAGTAGTGTTGATTACTCCTTGTAGTTGATACTAATTGGTTTACTTGGTGGAAGATCATATGTTCAGATCCTTTATGCATATTATTACACCTCTGATTATGAACATGAATATGCTTTGTGAATAGTTACGTTTGTTTCTGAGGACATGAGTGAAGTCTTGCTATTAGTAGTCATGTGAATTTGGTATTCGTTCGATATTTTGATGAGATGTATGTTGTCTCTCCTCTAGTGGTGTTATGTGAACGTCGACTACATGACACTTCACAATTATTTGGGCCTAGAGGAAGGCATAGGGAAGTAATAAGTAGATGATGGGTTGCTAGAGTGACAGAAGCTTAAACCCTAGTTTATGCGTTGCTTCGTTAGGGGTTCATATGGACCCATATATTTAATGATGCGGTTAGGTTTAGCTTAATACTCCTTTTTGTATTTGCGGACGCTTGCAATAGGGGTTAATCATAAGTGGGATGCTTGTCCATGTTAGGGCAGTACCCAAGTGCCGGTCCACCCACATATCAAATTATCAAAGTACCGAACGCGAATCTTATGAACGTGATGAAACTAGCTTGACGATAATTCCCAATGTGTCCTCGGGAGCTCCTTCCTCATTATTAGAATTTGTCGAGGCTTATCCTTTGCTACATAAAGGATTGGGCCACCTTGCTGCACTTTATTTACTTTATCTACTTTTTGCTCATTACTATTTATCTTATCACAAAACTATCTATCACCTACTATTTCAGTGCTTGCAGAGAAAACCTTATTGAAAACCGCTTATCATTTCCTCCTGCTCCTCGTTGGGTTCGACACTCTTACTTATCGAAAGGAATACGATAGATCCCCTACACTTGTGGGTCATCAAGACTCTTTTATGGCGCCGTTGCCAGGGAGTGTAGCGCTCTTGGTGAGTGGAACTTGGTAAGGAAACATTTATATTGTGTGCTGAAATTTTCTGTTACTTGTCACTATGGAAACTAATCCTTTGAGTGGCTTGTTGGGGGTATCTTCACCACAACCAGAAGAGCAAAGAAATGCTCCTCAACCTACTGAACCTTATGAAAATATTCACTTTGAGATTCCTTCGGGTATGATAGAAAAACTGCTAGCTAATCCTTTTGCAGGAGACGAAACATTACATCCCGACTTACACCTTATCTTTGTGGATGAAGTTTGTGGATTATTTAAGCTTGCAGGTATTCCCAATGATGTTGTCAAAAGGAAGGTCTTCCCTTTATCTTTGAAGGGAGATGCAATGACATGGTAT